GAGTAGCGCTTGTTTGTCATTTCTCCGATCACAAATGCAGACATGTTTTTATGTTTATGTCACACGCTTGAGGTATTCGGCCAATCACAACGCACTGGATAGCTGGCCAATCAGAGCAAACCTCGCTTTTCAGACCAATGAGTTTTTTTAAAATCGACCTGTTTCAGAAAGGCGGGGCATATAGGAGAATCAATAATGTACAGTATGTGGAAAATAATGTTTTTTTTTTACCTTAAACCGCATAAACACATTTCATTACACCAAATACACAAAATAATGTTATTTTTAGCAACATCATATGACCCCTTTAACTTGGTGGTCGAGAGCATCCTTGTCAACCTGACAAAGAGAGAAATCAACAAAAATAATTTGCATATGTTGTTTACAGCTGTATAAAGTCTCCACCTAACAAACTTACTCCAATCGTGCGGACGTTATCATTGAAGATCTTCTCCCGGCGTTGTAGTTCCCTGTTTCTCCTTCTGTCAAGATGAACAGCTTCAACTCGGTCTGACAGATGCTCAACTTGATTCATTGTGTATCACCACTTCAAATCGATATAACGAATATAATCGACATACTGGATGTCACAAAACGAGGGAAACCCACAAACAAACACGTTGCTAAGAGACTGAAAATATGTGTTTGAAAGTTTGCGCCCTCTCACTGTTGTTTTTCATACTGCAATTCAGTTGTCCTGTTAATCAGAATGGCTGAAATTCACCACACACACTCCAGATACATATTTATTATTATAGGTTTCAATCGTATATACAGGTAATTAAACTCTTTTCAAAACTTCTGCTTTGATCCTGTTATCTTTTTTTATTGCTCCACGTCCATAAAATCCTTTGCGTGCTAAATTCCACTGATGATGGAATCCATATGATAATATGCTTTATTGATGCTGCAGCGTTTAGACTAGTACTTTTTATTATTTATCTTATATTTGTTATGCTGCACACCAACACCAATGTCATTTTATTGTAATAGTTTTATCAGTGTTTGAACAACATTTTGAAATGTTATCAGTAGTTTAGCAACATGAAAATGATACTTCAAAAGAACGTGATTATGAAATCTGTCACATGACACAGACCTCACAGTAACAATATAACACTCAAACATTCATTTTAATGTGCAGTTGTTTCAGTGTAGGCTAATTAACCCTGTCACCAGGTTAAACTGGCAGTTGATTTAAACTTGTAACAAAAAATAATTCACAAACAAGAACACAATCAAATGTATCCATATATTTCCATTCACATTCTTGTACACATACAGTATTATATTTTGAAGTTTCTTCTACATCTACTTCCTTTACAATGTTTTCACTTCTGTCAAATTTCCTTTTAAAAGTCTTTGATGACATGTTGTATTGTCCATTTTTGTCCTGTGCATGTTTGCAAAATAAGATAATAATAGGAATCCTCTCCTTGGCCAATCTCAAGACATCGAGTTGTGTTTCTGTTTCTTATTGCATTTCCCTTAAAATGGAACAGAAACCAGAAAATTAATTTTCACTGATTATAGCAATACTAAAAATATAATTGTATATGACAAAACAGAATAACCACACATTTAGCAATTCTAAGCAACGTGCTGTGAAATATTCCATAAAATATATCAATAAAATACACAGCAGGACCTTACCTGAGAAAAGTCCCAGTATATACTCAATCCTTTCTCCTTGGCATTTTTACAGTCGTGTAATGCTGGTGTCTTTCCACTGCCAGGATCCATTAGACAACGATTGGAGTTATACGTGTGAGATTTGATGCCTCCAATGTAGATCTCTCCATTACGGTTATAATAACAATGCTGTGAAAGACAGTCAAATGAAGAGTGCTTTTTGGACGTGGTTACTCAAAGCAAAGGTTTACACTCACATACAGTACCTGAGGGTCATAGTGATGACATTCATATAGAATAGGTACACTTCCAGGAACTTCGCCTTGATCAATGCAGTATCTTTCTTGAATGTCATTCTTCAGCTGTCATGAGAAATAAACAGCGGCAGTTTAGGGATAACAAGTTTAGATGGGCCAAATATCTACTAAACTTTATTTATCTCTACTTTGGTGGGGAATTGTATCAGAAGTCTTTGAGAAACTATGAGCATCTTTGTTGCTTACCACACCATAACTAATAATGTCTTCCCAGCCGTCTAGGAGAGGATATACATTCTCCAGATACCATTTGAAGGGCTTACATTTGAGTTTCTCTCGTAACTGTTTTCTTTCAGTCACATCACCTATATCAATCCCATGATTCTAGAGAAAAAATAGTTCATTTATCAACCAGGTCCAGGCTGATATGAGAATCAATGACGTTAATAGTTATACACAAGACTGCTAATATTCAGCTTCAGCTAAACTTAAAACAATGTTTACTATTACTGTTACCTTTAGAGGGAGATTCCAGGCAATATTCACATTTGATTTATATTCATCCAGCCAGATTTCGGCCACTCTCAGGGCGTTTCGAATCATGGGTCTGCTGAGATCTAGTGAATAGGGCTTATGTGCTCTTTCAATGTGTGCGATCTTTGAACACGGCACCACTTCAATACTCCCACCACAGAGCCAGACCTGATTTATACATAACAAATGCTGATCAAATTCATCGTAGGCTATATTACATACATTCTTTTGGCGCCACAATGTGTAGTAATGACTTACACGTATTGCAAGTTCAACATTTTCACCCCCGTAAATTTTCATTCCTTCGTCCAAAACTCCAATTTCTCCCAGGAATTGACGATCAGCGACAAAAATACCCATGATTGAGGGACTCCTAACAATACAGAAAAATGAAACTAAAATTGAAGGGGGTCTGAATACTTTCCGTACCCACTGTATGTTCTATTTCAATCAAATCACAAACGGCAAACTGTAGCTTATGATATATATCAAATAAAGTATTATGCGGCAGTTACAGTAGTTCGGTTCCCAGCATGATGACAAATGACTCCTTATGAGTGAGTTCAACTGTTGAAGATCGAAATAAGCATTCATTTTTATAAATGTTGCATTGTTAATTCTACCAATTATTAGGCTATTTAAAAAAACACTGATTTATTTAGGAATGAAATAATCAACTGTCCTAATAAACGAGCCCGGTCTCATGAAAATGCGTATAAATAGTACGCCAAATAAAAACGAAAACTCATGGTATTGATACGCAAAAA